CTTTGTCGCGTCGGGGACTCCTCAGCACTCCCGAAATCGGAGAGAGAGAGCCTGGTGCGGCAAAGCTGAAGTTCGACTCGTTGATCCCACCATTTTCAAGGAAGAGCCCACTGCCCCACTAGACAATCAAACCAAGTGTTCTTGGAAGAACATCCCTAATCACCCTTTAGTCACTTTTTGCTTCCCTTGAAAACGGACACCAAAGCACCCCGAATGATCACCAACACGGTACCTACCTTTTGCTTCTGTTGGATCCCAACTCCAGCGGCTGGGGGACCCGCTAATTGCGATCAAATTGATTGTGAGAAGGTAACTGAACCCATTGAGTTGCGCTCCAAGCCAATCATTCAATCTAATTCAATACAAAAATCTATGAAATGGCTCATGCCAAACCTCTCTGTGCACGCATTCCGCAACACATGGTCAAAGAACTTGCCTCTACAAAACACACACACCAACAGAGAAATAGCAGTTTGGGATTTCCATGCATGTCCGATGTCTGTTTCCAATGCACCCAAATGTGAGATATCAAAAATACATAAGAACAACAGTTTGAAAAGGCTATTATCTATACCAAAGCAAGTGCATTGTCAATCTAAAAGAGCATCATAGCGCCTCATACATCTTCAATAGCTCAAATTGTAAAGACTCCCTGACCTTATCCCACTAGTTTTGAAAGCACACGGAGAAGAAGAAGAAGAAGAGCAAGAGCGACGTGGTGAAGTACCAGTTGCGATTTGCTGGCCTGTTTAGTACAGTGGTTTATTCAAGTAATCCAAAATCGATCTTGCATAAAGTTAGCTGAATCTGGCTTTGCAACCATCTATACAAGTGCGGGAAGATCAGGAGTGGGTCAAGGCCCCTACTAAAAAAACAAGTCGTGCACTGGTTTTGTTTCAGCCACTACAAAATGAATTGCCACGGTAAAGAAAGACAGGGTCAATCGCAGTCAGTGCCCATCAAATGATAGACTTCAGTCAGAAACCGATTCGCTACAGTTGCCAACATTCAGGGCATTTGGCCACCAGTGTGCCACAGGCCAAACAAGTTGCCTACTCTGCCTATCTAGTCGGAGAAGGCAACCCGTTGCAGCATGGTGAGGTTTCCAGCCCTTCAGGCCTCTGCAAAAGTCGGTTGCAAGCCTCAGCCAACACACGGGGGGGCGGCTGGATTCGCTCTCAACGGCTGGTACGGCTGGTCAAAAATCAGCATAGCAAGATAGCAATACACGAATCCTTTGCGCCCTGTGGATGTACCGACCAAGCTGTCAGGAAATTATGGACTTCAAGCTGTCAGGATGGATATGTCGAGACAATGTTAGCCTCAAAAGATTTGCACATTGGGCCTCCCCGACCTTGCGTCTCCTTGGGAGAAGCTGCTCTGACTCAGATTTGCACATCTGAAACCTGTCAGTCTACATCTCAAAAGCACATGTCAGTCACTCAACACATGTCAGTCAAGACATATCAATACTGTTCTCAACCATGGATCCGGTGGCCTATTGCTCGACCAAGGATGTAAAGATCCAGTCGATCGACCTGGGAGGCCCACGAGGGGAACCCCTCCGGTGAGCGGGTGGAAGAGGCTCCCCACTGGCGGCAGTGGCTGCTGCAAGCAGCGCATCTGTGGCAGACAGTTGGCTGTCATGCCTCAGGTGTCGAGCACTGATCTTTGAAGATTCGTTGGACACCAAATTGGTCTTGACAATGCTAGGACCGGCCAGGACTGCTTCTCACATGCTTGACGGACTGCTTCTTGACACGCATTGCTCAAGTAAAGAACTCGGATGGAGCGCTCACGACGTTGACCCACACCCTTCAGCCAAAGTGCAGAAGTGGCAGCTTCACATTCCTCGAGGTCAATACCCCTGAGAAGTCAAAAATGTGAGCCACAAAGAACCATGCAGAAGTAGCAAAGCTCTCAAAATCAAGCCATCTCTGAAGCTCAAAATGCAAGGCCTGTGTGGGGAAGTGTATGGAAGAGACCTGGCCTTAGAACTGAAAGGCTTCGGAAGGAAGCCTTAAGTCACAGTGCTTAGTAGAAACCAAAGAGAACTTGAAGTTCAAGCAACTCCAGTCGATTCAGATCAGTGCAACTCCAAGTTCTTTCCTGCTCTTCCATGGTTTTCTGTCTGGGGCAGCAGCTTCTGCACACTTGGCAGCATAGGCACCTGGTCGGGTGGCGATGGAAGAGACCAAGGCACTCGGTGAAGCCTACTTTCGGGTGGGTTGTTAGGGTGTGTGTGTGTGTATGTATATATATATATACTGTATATGTACATATAAGCAGCGTGATGTCTAGAAGACCACGCTCATCCCTCAAGATTGTTGGAAGTCCTACTGAATCATGTTCCTTTACACCGGACACGTGCAATCAAAAATGTTCAAAGCATTCTTTGGTCCGCCGGTAGGCTCTGGTGGGATCTTTGTAAGGAACCCAGAACAAGCCGCTAAGGGGTCAAAAAAAAAGGAAAGAACCTACAAACAAACAAACAAATTAGCCCAGCTGGAGACCACAATAGCAAGATACAAACCGGGACAAAAAGAAAAAATCTCGAAACAGCTGCTGTTTTCAACACATCGACCATCTCTTCCTTGGACACCATCATCACATAACCGGGACACCATCACAAAATGACCAGGGCACCATCAAAACATGACCGAGACACCGTCGCAACACGATTGTGACACCATCGCAACATAACCGGGACACCATCACAAGGTGACCGGGACACCATCAAAACGTGACCGGGAGACACCATCACAACATGACTGGGACACCGTCACAACATGACTGGGACACAATCACAACATGACCGGGACACCATCACAAGGTGACCGGGACACCAACATGACATGACGGGAAAACCATCACAAGATGACCAGGACACCATCACAACATGACCGGGACACCGTCACATGACCCGGACACCATCAAAACATAACCGGCACACCGCCAAAACATCATCGCAACAGGACCGGGACACCATCAAAACATGACCGGGACACCGTCACAACACGACCGG